CGGCGCCCCGGCCTTCGGTTTAGATATTTAGAACTCAGAAGCGCCGGCCCAAAACTGCCAGATCGGGACATGGAGCGAGTACGGCAACGCTGTTGTCCGCGGTGGCCACGTCATGGCCTATGACAGCAGCCAAAAGGCCCCTGGGCTGAGTTGTTGCAAAAAGCTTGCCTTCTCTTTGTTGTGCGTCTACGGGTAGTTACTGTAAACCCTGTGAACAAAAACGACGAAACCCCATTCCACAGCTGCGTCCCACGAACCCCCAACACTTGCAGTGCTGTAATTACATGTGACTTTTGCGGGGATCCTCGTCAGAAGAGTAAGACTCAGAAGGCTCTTGGGACGGGCAATGGTTCTCAGCAAAGATGTGATGAAGTGAGAACCCCTCATGTTTCGTCAAAGCCGTCACCTCCCGCTGTTTCCCTCGCCCTCCCCGATGTCTACGTTTTTGTTTCATGGTGTTTCCACGTGTCTCTTGAGGCCCTTTGGCTGCACGGAGGATTTGATATCAATGCCCATGGCGACCTGTGGAGGTTCGACATGGAGGCACAGGGGTGTGGACTCGTGTGACGGCATGGCACGGGTTTCGGGCCTTCTAGGCCGTGCGAAGGTCGACCAGTACGGTAGTCATGGTCCTTATAAAGCAGGGATGACTTGGAGAGTCGCTCTGTGCAGACGCTGACACAAGCCTGTGCCCCAACTCCACCAATGCAAGGAGGGCAAGAATACGACCACTGCGACATCGACGACGGTCACTACGATCAGGCTGTATAGCCGTCTAGGGTCAAAATGGTGATGGTGGGGTTGGGATCCGAGCGCTGAAATATTGTGGGGAGGGATGGTTTCCAGGTAATGCCTTGGAGCCTTGGATCTTCAACTCAACCTTGCCCCTTTTACAGTCACATTCTGGACACCTCGGCCTCACCACCCCCCCCCCCCCCCCCCCCAAACAAAAAATGAAGAACAAGCACTAATAACAAAGCTCTCGTCGCAGTCCGGGCATTCTAGAGAGCAAACCTGGCTGTGCCGCACCTTCATGTGAGGAATTTGTGAAGGGGACCTCTGGAAGCCTCATGCTCACACATCTGAGCCTCGAACTCTTGGGGAAACGGTCATCCGTCTTCACTTGAGTCACTTGATGAAAGCTATGGAGACATGACCAGACCTTGCCCTGCGCCTGAGCCTGGAAACCAACAGTTCTCGAGTCGAACCCCCCGAAATAGATGCACTTGGCCAGGCTTTCGCAGGTGAGTGCCTCAGTTCCCCAGTGCGCGCGGCTTTTCGTGGCTTCAAAGTCCGGGGATGTCGGAAGGAAGACTGGATTCAGCAAGGGCTCTCCTTCTGACTTGGGTTGATGTGGGTCGTTGTGACGGGTGCAGACTCAGAGTTGAACGCCACAACGCACACACACACACACACACACACACACAAACAAGCCCGAGCCCCTGTGCGCAGAATTTGGTTCATCACAGCCGCGGCACTTTCTACCCCAGGACAAACAACAACGCCCCAATGTCCAAATCGTAATCCCAGCAGGCCTGGGCTGGCAGCTGGACGGAGCTGAACCCGCCGACGAAGCCCTCTGCGCGCGCCGGTCACGTCATGGTCTACGACAGCGACAGTCAGGCCGGGAGGCCTTTTTCATGGGGGCTTTTTATTGGGTTAGAAGTTCTAAGCGTCTACTAGACACCTCCCTCCTCGAGTGTTGTGCCGTTGTGCCCATCCATCTGCCACTCGGACGTCGTAAAGCTCCTTTCAAGAACATTTTAGTGCAGCATCCAGCAAATCAGGTACAAATTGAAGCCCATTTTTCCGAGTAAGGGCCCTGCAATGCTGCAAGTACCCTGATCTTCCCAGGCCCTCTGGCTGCAAGGCGGTGGCTGGGCTCTCGACGACCTGTGGCGCTTCGACCTTCAGGCCGGGAAAGAGGCCATTAGTGTTAGAGCCGTGCTAGAACCGAGCCACTTTTAAACTTAAAGAGACAGAAGCTGCATGCGTAGACTCGTAGACACGCACGTTCACCGCATGGGCGCTGCATGGTCCCTGTTGGAGTCGAGCTTTGCCGAGTTCTATGCATCACAGCAGTGGTCCGTCATTTGTTCATTCTTCTCCAGGCCGAGACCTGGAGCGACAGGACATTTTTTTCGTTTCCTCCCTCGACGGTCCACCTGTTATGTGGCGCTTGAAACCATCCTTCGCAGGCGATGCCTATGAGATCTCTCCCCCCACCCCCCGAAAGCAAAAATCGAGGCCCTAAAAACCCCGAAACCTCCACCCAAAAACTTAACGAAGCCCTAAAATACCCTAAACCACCTCCCAGAAAGAGGACTCCAGACCCCAAGCCGACGGCCCGGGACGGAATGGCCATGGTCTACGACAGCAAAAGCAAGGCCGCCTGCAACAGGGCCCAGGGTCGCGGCATCGGGCATATGTTGTTGTTACTTTTTTTATATGGTCTATCTCGGTTTCATGTTTGTGTTTTTGCGTCAAGGCTTCAAACAACTTGGACAAGCTTATCGTGCTTTTTGTGTAGAACGTGTTCAGGTTTGGCTTCGGGTTTCAGGCCTGAGAGGTCGGCTGCATGGCTCTCGTTGCGACAATGGGTCCCTTGGCCAGGTGCTCCACACATGGTTTGGAAAATGGAGTGGTGGGGGGGGGGGGGGGTGACCACTGCGTTGTGCTGTAGATTGGCGTCTTAGGTTCTCGCAGTATGGCGCACGACACTTTCCCCCAATGCCGCCTACGAAGCGCGCAACCTCTGGTGTACAGAATTCTACATCCTCTGTCTGAATAGATAGAGCAGATGCCCAAATTTCGTACCTGTATACGAAGGAAAGCCTCCTGGCCAGACAGGCAAAAAAAAAACCCTCTCAAAGACCAGCCTCCCCTTTGAAGTCAAGGCCCTGTGGCTGCACGGCGGCTACGATGTCTGGCACTATGGGGACCTGTGGAAGTACGATGTGAAGGCAGAGTTGATGCAGAAGGTACTGGTGAGTCATAACACGAGTGACTCAGGATTCCGAAACCTTATAAGGCCCCCGACCCAGAAGCGTTTTTATGATCAATCTTCGCTTCAGAAGCTCCGAGTCAGAATTCGGGGGTTATTCCAGCCTTGTGCCTCGACTCCTGGAGTTTAAGCATGTATTTTGCAAAAAAATCGGATGAATCATGCTGCGAAATCTCCCCGAGAGCTGCCGATTGTCATCCAGGCAGTTCTAGGGATGCTGCATCAGCCTCCGAATCCATGTCGCTCGAATTCCGAGACCAAACCCTTGGTGTCCAAAGTGAAGGAGGCTACGGCCCGAAGGTGTAAGTTCAAGGGGGCGAGGCCCGGTGAAGCCCCGGGACCCAACATGATCTCTGCAACTGCCCACCATCCCCACGTATGACGATGCTGGTACCGAATCTCTTGAAAATACTCCGCAACACATAACCTGCGGTTAGCTGAGAATCTGAGCCCCTCGAGGTGGGCTCCTGGACTGAGCAGCAGCAGCCGAGCGCGAGGCCTTTCGACCGCTCCGAGCATGCCATGGCCTTCGACAGCGACAGCCAGGCCAAGAACTTGCTCTAAGAGTTGAAGTGGGGGGGGAGGGGGGGGACGGGGGGAAGGTGGGGAAGGAGGAGGGGGGGGCGGGGGGAGGGAGTTTCGCTTGGGGTTTCCGTGATTATCGGGATGGGACGAGATTTGTGACATGGGCAGCTGAGGCAGCTCGTCCCAGCGCATAGTGGCGGCCTGCGATGGCAGAAGAGACTTAAGGGTGTAACGGTAGAGTCTGGTCCTTGGCACGCTTTTGAGAGAGCGCAATCCTGTTCCAGCCCGAGATGTAAAGTACAACAACCCAAGTCACTGTAAATACTCCCATAGGTCGTGATAGGTCGTGGCCCCTTTCAAGAGGCCTTGTGGATTCATGGCGGGGAAGGAGGCCAGTCGGGCTACAACGACGACTTCTGGCGGTACGATATCGAGGCTACCATTTTTCGAGACACGGAAGTTCTAGAAGTTCTGAGGTGTGTGTGTGTGTGTGTGTGTGCTGTGTTTGTAGCGTTTGTGTATGGGTTCGTGCTTTTGGATGCTTGATGATGCTTGATCAGCATCCGGGGGGTGAAGGCCTTAGCCTTGATGTTGCGAATTGCGATATTTCACGTAAAAGGGAGGGAAAGGCCCGCAGCTTTTTGCTTTTTTTGCTTTTGGTCTGGGTTCTGGATCCTATGTTGCATCAGCAACATTCGGGCGACAAGAAGGCCTGGCACTGCATTGCGCATCTACATGACCCATCGCCAGGCTGGCACCTGGACTATGCAAAACGGCACGAACCGGATGCCATCCAAGCGACGACGCCATGTCTTGATCTATGACACGGACCGAAAGGCTCGAACCACAAGGGCTCCTGGTGTTGGACGCATCGCATTTAGGCTTGGATTCAGAATTGAGGAGCGCTTTGTCGACGAGAGTTGCTGCAGCTGAGGGTCGACAGATGTTTGCTGGTGATGCTGCCTTAGTTGTAGTGATGGCGAATAATATATGATATTGAAGATACTTACTGGCTCAGATGATCTGTAAATTGGGTGTTTGTGTTCTGCCGCGAGCCCTAAGCAGGATGTTGGATAGCCTCGAAATGGCAGTAATGGCATTTGGGTATGCGCACAAGAAAGGCGATGTTTACTGGCAAGATGTAGAAAGGTGTGCAAAGCCGCAATCAGTTGCCTAAGCAAAGAATTCCCATCCTGAACAAGAACGATAGCATCCCGAACCAACCGTTTCAAGTTCACAGCCGTTCGTGTGAGGCCCTGTGGCTGCACGGAGGATACGCTTATGTCTCACCTTCGGAGATTCGCCACGACGACTTGTGGAGGTACGACGTGCAGGCGCTGGCATGTCAGATTGGGGTGAAGAATTGTTCGTGGAAGGTGCACTGAAGAGGTAGGCTTGCAGAAGGGACGTTCCCTTAAGGAATCTGATAGCTGAGATAAGAGGTAGCCAGACCGTGCTGAGGGTCGTCGCTATGGCAATGGCGCTCGTTGCCCCAGCTGTGCAGACCCAACCGATCAGACTGCCACCTGCAAGTTCGGCAGCTTCGCCGTTGGGAGCAGCCCCTCAGTGTGGCTCTGCAGCCCTTGTGGGTGCTTTCACGGCTGCGTTCACGATGGGCTTCACTCGTCGGATGCGAGGCCTGCAGGCTGGTGCACGTGAGCTGCCGGCAGCACCCTCAGAGTTGACGAAACTCTACTGGGAGGAATATGGTGCTCACCTGTTGCTGGCAATAACGTTGACGAGTGCCTGTGCCATGCTGAGCGCATCCACTTCACCTTGTCTGGCAGGCCTTGCTGGAGCTCTGGCAGTGCCCATTGTGATTTTTCAGCACGATGTGCGCCACCTCCATCATGCGGGTACAACCTTCGAAGAGAAGTTGTCCGATGTGTTGGTTCTGGTGACCGGTACTTGTTATGGTATCCTGCCATGGTCCGGGGTGCATGTTAAGCACCACGCCTTCACGGGCTCCTACCAGGGTGCTGTGGTGGCGCCGGCGCTCCGGAATGGCGTGCCGGGCATGGGCGACCTGGATGACCTTGCGGGACCACTAAGGCACGGGAACCCTTTCGAGCCAGCGAGGCGCAGCTCCACGTTGCGTGCTCTCGCCGCCTTCCTCTGCATCCTGCTCACGGTCAGCCTCTTCCAAGGACATGCGCTCGGGGAGGGAAGGAGTGGGGGGGAGAGGGGGGTAGTTTGATGTAACCTGCCCTTCTCATGTCGTACGACGACTTTACTAGACGTACTAGACCCATGAGCTTCGCCAATCACTGTCACTTCTCAGCAAACAGATGTGAATCTAGAGCAGGAATGTTCATGCTTCAGAGCTTGGTGGGGCCGCTGCAGAAGGACACTCGTGCCGCGAACGACCGCGCCGTGATTTACAAGGGCGCGGCCCTGACAATGGCACACCTTTGCCTGGGACTGTATTTGCTGGGACCGGCTGCCTACATGATGTACAGCATTGGCATGAGTGCCTGCCTGACGCTGCTGACGGCACCCGTGCATGATGCAAGGGGTGTGTCTAGTGACTATAGTGCTGATGGCTACTATGCACGGCAAGTTGCAGCCACTGCCAACATTGCAGAGCACGAGAGCCCCCTGATCAGATACTTCATGATGGGCACCTCGGCAATGCAGCAGAGCATTCTCCCAAAGCAGGTCGACTCATATCACAGACTCTAAACAACCTAGGTTCTGTAGGGTCTATAGGATTGAGAGGGCTTAGGGTGTAGGGTTTAGGGTTGGGATGACATCAGAACCCCTAAGACCCCCAAGAGCATTCTCGTCGCCTAGGCAACGACTACCACATCGAGCACCACCTCTGGCCACGGGTTCCCGGGATGCCACTTGGCTCACGTGTTTCTGCTTTTTCTGCTCTTCGGGTAACTTGAGAAGCCCTACAAGGCAACCGAAGCTCTTTCTCGCTCCAGCTCTTGGCTCCACATCACCAATCCTTTGCATCAAAGCCTCTAAGATGCCTGGGACCGCCCCCCCCCCCCCCCCCCCCCCCCAAAGTTGTAAGTAATTGGGGGGGGGGGGGGGGCGGGGGGGAGCTCCGAGCCCCAGGAAAAAGCAGCAGCTGTCTGGCTACGCGAAAGCCTTCTGCGCAGCCCAGGGTTTGGAGTATCGGGAGGTGCGTCTTGCACCCTGCACACATAGACGCCGCTAAACATCAAGGGGCAAACCCTCAAATGGGGGTTTACGATAACAAGGGGACCCCTAATATACACCCCAAATAGTAGGATCCCTTTAATGATAAGGACCCGATAAGGTACCCCGAATATCGTAAGCCCCCAAATCCCCTCCAAAACTTCCCGGAGCCAAGAGGTGACCCTCACGGAGGCCTGGACGCATTGGGCCGACGAAGCGTTCCGCTTGGCCGGGCAGCCGTACCAGCCGGCGCCCGATTTCGGATCGCACCGGAGCTCTGAAAAGTGAACCCTCTCGCTAGCAGAGTCACACAGAGAGCCACAGGCACAGGGCAGATGTTTCAAGAGTTGTACAGAGGCCTTTTGGCTCAATGCTCCGCCGAGACTTGGGGCTTCCTCAGCCTGTCGAATTCGCCAGCAGCCCAATGGGGGGCTTCAAAACACTTTAAAGCCCCTCTAAGGGAAGTGGCCGGGTGCCCCCCCGACTTTTGCGCGAGGGGCCGCGCTGTATTGGTGCAGCCCACTTGTTCGACAGGATCCTGGAGCCTTTTTCCCGAGTTCTCAGTTTTGGCTCTTGCGCACAGCAAGACATGCCCGCGACTGTCTAGGCGCAAGAGCTCTCATGGAAAAGCTTCGTTTACCTCGTCTTCGTGTCCTTCGTGCTCCACCCCGCACTTAACATGCACACACGTCAGTGCGATTCCTTCATGTCAGAGCTCTCATGAATCGTGGTGTTGTTCTTCGGGCACAGTCATGTGGAAGGAAGCATGTGGTGCTTGTAGGGCGAAGACGACGTCTTCTGGCAAACCCTGCATTTCAAGTGGGCCCTAAACTTAAACTTACTAAACTCCCTGCGTTGGCGGGCGGGACAGCGCGTAAGCCGAGGCCGGATGCCCGACGAGCTGCTACACACACACACATGCGCGCGCACACGCGCACACACACACACACACACAAACAGAGACAGAGACACAAAGACATGGGACAGGGTCGCTGCAAAGCAGTCCCAGAAGCCTCACGCGAATCCTCAAGTTCGCCATGCACCCAATTTTCCTACGATCCCAGATGCTGGAGCCACAAACTCAGACAAAGCGGAAACATGCCTTAACTCTCCATAACAGTCTCCTCCCACAGCTTTTACCAGGTGACAAACGTATTGCATGTTGTTGCAAGGTTTTCGTAGCCGGGGGAGGGGTATAACGGTATAGCAGATCCCTGGAGCAGGCTGGTACGTGGACGGAGCAGATCACTACGAACCGTCCCCCAGGACGCTACCACCACGGCCCCCTGCTGGACATCAATTTAAAGACATTGGTCGTGCTATTGTGATTCCTTTGCCGTTGCCGGTAAAATCAGCCAACTTCTAGTTTGTTGTGTGTTTGTTGGGTTGTGTAGAATGTTTGAACATATGTCCTAGCGGCTTCAACGCACTAGGAATCGATCCGAAACTTTTGGATCTCAGGCGTCCAGAAAAGCTAAGTTGCCGAGTTAAAGGACTCTTAGGCTCTACACATAGGACCTTCTCGGCACACGTTGAACTTGTAACACCGCAAGAGCATGCTCCGTCCCGACTTTTTGTTGTGGCTTTGACCAGCCCTTGGAGCCAATTGGAGCATTCTTGGAACACCAGAATCCAGGATTAATTTCGTGCATACTCTCCACACCAAGGAATGGCCATCCTGGCAGAGGCTTGGGCCCATGGTACAGTCGAACCGCGAAGACATAACATTTTTCCTGTGTTGCTTGCAACCACTGGGGGAAAAGGAAACAAGAAGTCGTAACGTTCAGCGGTCACACTGGGGATTTGCATGTTCTAGACATGTGACTGAAAGCAATTTGCTGGCTTTCCTTTGCCAGAAGCCATGTTGGTGGGGGGCTCGTGGGCTGGTGGTTGTGACACGAGGACCCTAAACTGTAAACTGTAAACCCTCCGCTTGGCCTTGAAAAACAGACAGCCACCAATCGCACGTTGGGGTATGGCCAGCCGTATCACCGTGGTATCGCCGCACGTATCGCCACGGCCCGGAACTCCCAAACCCCAAAACCCTCAACCCCAAACGTGTAGCATTGTCTTTGGGCTCAGTGATGGACAGGGGTTTATGGGGTCAGGGCTTGGCGTTGATCAGCGAGCTTCTGTTTGAGAGATTGGGCTCAGGTGAAAGGCTAGCGTTAGCAATGGGCACCAACTCACAGAGGCTCAGGATCACAGCGATGAGCAAGTAGTCTGAGTTGTCGACACCATGCACCATCCCTCCTCACTCCCATCGCCAACTTGACCATGACGGAGCACGCCAGACCCAAATAAGTAACCGCCAGCAATTTGCTAAAGGCGCTGCTTCCCTGGACCCTGCCACTGCGAGGCTCTGTGGCTCTTTGGTGGCTACAACTACGACTACAACTCTGACTCCGGCGAGAAGCACCTGGACGACTTGTGGAGGTATGACCTGGAGGCGTGGCTGCAGCCTCATGCAGCCTCCTCTCTGCGCCTAAACACTCAACTCAACCCCAACAAAATCCTCGTCTTTGGCCCTTCTTTTTTCCAACCCTAAACCCTAAAAGCCCCAAACCCACTTGGCATCCAAGAGATACAGGAAGCCTCGGCCAGGCCGGAGCTTGGCAGGAGTTTCTCTCCACAGGGCGTGTGCCACCCGGGCGATCGCGCTTTGGCATGGCCGGCGACGGCCAGGCTCCGGCAACAGGGCATCATGAATTCGGGAGGGAGGGGGGTTATGCACAATGCGTGCACATGTGTATATACATATATATATATGTATATGAATGAGATTTGACTGAACTATAAGAAAAGTGGAATAACGAATCGTGTACGATTTATACAGTAGTATATGCTAACGTAGCACAGAGAAATTTTAAATCCATGACTTCCTTTAGAGAGCGGCCCCTGAGGCCCTGTGGCTACACGGAGGAGCGGGAGCGAATGGAGATCTTGACGATTTGTGGAAGTTCGAGGCATCAGGAGAGTCGTAGGATTTGCTCTTTTGAGTTTTGGAGGCTAGAAAAAGCCAAAAGCCCACAGCCGACAATGCAGAAAACGCCAAAGTCAGCAGCTTCTTGGCGAAATAGCAGAGCCCTCAGGTCAGCAAGTTGGAGGCCACGACCACCCAAACCGAGGCTTGGATCTTCAGCTTCTGATCGCAGGGTCCTGGCATTGCGGATGCAGCCAACTTGAGAAACAGAACGGTTCCGGCGTGTACCCCCCCCCCCCCCCCAACATGGGTGAAACACAGGGCACCGTCAGGGCACACAGAGGCCTCGAGTGAGAGCTCGATATCGAGGCAAGCGATTCGAGCGGGAAGTTTCGAGCTGCACATGGGAGCCAGGATGTGTCACGGGCCTCCAGGAGCCAAACATCAAATTCTACACAGTGAGAGCAATACTTGAGCGCTGTTCTTTTCCGCGAAACCGTGCCGAGGGTTTTTCGTTCTCGTTGATGCATGGATGGATGTCGTGATGGATGGCCTGATGGATTTCGTCGTGGAAATCGTCGTAGTTTCTAGGCTGTACAGTGGCATCCCCAGGTCGCACGCGCAACCCCACCCCTGGTTGCAGCACTGACAGCAGCTTCACCAGATCTGAGTTTCAAGGCTTACAAAAATCAAGCACCCGAAGCGCGTCTAGGCTGCAAACCTCAACTTTGACGCGAGTGCCAGTTCAACACGGGCCATCAGCCCTGCCTGGTCGTGGGCACTTGCTTCGATGATGAATGGGATGATGTCTCGGATCTTGGAAAGCTGGTAACCGGAAAGCTAGACAGCTAGAAGCAGCGCGCTCAACGACTCAAATGGACTGGGGAGCCAGGAGCCCCGGAGTCGACGCTGGGGCTAACGTGGCTAACCTTTCTGGTAATGTTACTTCTTGGCAGATTCAGCTGCTTTGGTTGAATCCCATGTTGCAGACCACTCGAACCTCCACGACTTGGACCTCGTCTTCATACCAGGCACGGGGAATCGTCAAGGAACCCCGAGCACTAAACTCTCAGTTTGGGGAACCCCGAGTTGACGTAATCCTCGCAGCAAAGAGGAAAGCGCCGGGGTTGTGGGGGACTCTGGGGGACCTTGCAGGGACCATGTGCGTACCCACCTTGAAGGTCACCTTTTTCTTTGAAGTCTTTATATAGGGCACCTTCTTGGAAGCTGTACAGTAGATATAATGCCCTGGTTCGGCCAGGTACCCCCCTCGATCGTTCCACCAGAAAGTTCCTCGGTGAACTCCGGGTTTCCGGCCTTCGTTGCATTGGTCTGCGCGGTCTGCGGGGCCTTTCTGTAAAGCTTTTTACAATTACAGGCCACCCTTTCTTGTTTGCCCCAATTATTGAAGATGGGATAGTGGAATACGAGGGAGAACGGCACGACTCTATACAGGGCTCAGTATGGGGCAGAGTGGAAGGGGTGGCTCAACTAGTGAAAAATGGCGCGGGGCGCGCGAATCGGCGCGAGAGCGGAGGGTTCGTGTTGGAAACCCGTCTTTTTGGTGCCGGTGAATTGGGAAAGAGTCCCATTCTGTTGGGTTGCGTTCGCCCCCCAGTTTGATGCCGGGAGGGCCAAGCCAGGGCTCGAGATGGAGTCCAGATGTTGAGGGCAGCTTGGTGAAGGCCAGGTAATTACATTGTAGGCCACCCCCCAAGCACCCCAAGTGGCTCCAGAAAAGTGGTTTTTAAGGCAGCTTGGGGTATAGACATACATCGTCGAGTCGCTCCCTTCCAAGCCCCCACATCTGTGCAAGGCCCATGAATGGGCCTGAAGAGGGCCCATTCGTTTGACAAATGGGTTTTTTTATGTTGCGAAGCCATGTTTTCTGATCCGAAGCAGGGAGAACCCCGATCTGTTGGACTGCAAAAGTGTCCACTGCCAGCTATCAGCGCTGGAAGTGGAACCGCAGCACAACTCTTACAGAAATCCTGAGGTACGGCTCACGCCCGAAGGGTTGTGATCGTTGGATCCGGTCACAAAGCTTCTAGCAACCTCGCCTTCGAATGTGATGTATACATGTAGAGGCTAGCCAGTTTGAATTCCAAAGTTGAGACACTTTAGCTTGTAGTCATGTAGTTGCTAGGCTTTTCCCGGCCACCTTTTATCGGAATCATTTTCCATGATGCAAGGGGGAGTTGTGAGTGTTCACTCTCAGCCACCCGCGCTGGAAGTGAAATCGCGGCACGACTCTCCTACAGTTTTGGCAAGCCTCATGCCCAAAGGGTTTGGTTCTGGCCTTACAGAGGTTGTTCCTTGCTTTGATGGATGAGTGGAATATAATTCTGTATGACTTCTTGAAGTG